TCATCCTCCGGAAATCTGTTTCTTTGTTATGAAAGGTGGGGACAACATTATAACAAAGAAACAGAATTTCCGGAGCAAGAGGCCCAGAAATCAGGATTTTAAAAAAGATTCCCAGGTCATTCTAATGTGCAGCCAAGGTTGAGAACCACTGCCATAGACATTGCTGTAGAGAAAAAGCTTCAGGTGCCTTTTGACTTGTCTCTTTTTTTTTCACTTCCTCAAAAAGGAAAAAGCTAGATACTTTTGTAACCCTTGCCTCTTCCCTCCAATTCACTTTCTGTGGACATTTCAGTCCTAATATGTCAATCCCTAGCATATAGAAACATAGGTCTTTGGTGACCAAATTAATGAAATGGATGCCTTATTAACAGCAAGAATAAGAAGGTACTCCTAGGGATTTCAATTACAAGTATTATCACATTATGCTTAATTGCACATAGACTCAAGATTAATTTTAGACCTACATATCTCTTCCATATATTTCAAGACATTTTCTTACAAAATATACTCTACCCCACAAACAATCACTATTCATAAGTCATTGAACCAAATCAGGTCTCGGCAAATTCCCAACTCTCTGTCTCACTGGAATGTCAGCATTTAAAAGGGGCCAGAAATAAGTTACATTAGCTTACACCTGAAAATCTGTTTTGGAGATCAGAGATACTAACTTTAGTCATAGTTGTTGTAACAGCTTTTGAGCCCAATTCTTCCTTTGCACAAATACCATCTTTATATAGAGTAGGTCATTCTGTGCAAATACATTTTATTGCTGAAAATTGAGTCATGTCGATAAAATGTCAGTCTTCCTCTTTAATCAATCAAAATGCCTGAGAAATTCCAAAAGTATTAAATAACTATTAAGTTATCTTCTTTCTCTGCTCAGTCACAGATACTTTAGAAAACTGGCATTTTTATTTAAACAATATTACTTTAATCAGAAATGGGTGGAAATCATGGAGATGGAAGAACCAGCTGGATAGGACCCCAGTAGGACTGATGATGTAATTCCCCGCTGGGCACAGATAAGCTAGGACTTCCCAGTTAGATACAAACCCCATTTACTAACAGCTCCCAGTACTGACTGCTTACCCTGAAGTATGCAACGGTACTGATACACATTATTTCATGGAATACTAACCTTAAACCTACAAGATAGACACTGTTGTACACATTTTGAGATGAAAAAACGGAATCCTAGGGAGGCTAAGCAGCTTGGCCATTAGTAAGTGACAGAGCCAGAATTTGTACCATAATAGCAGTGGTTCTCATCACAGCAGTGGGCATCTCCAAGGCCAAAACTATCTTCATGACACTAAGACAGTTTTACTATCATTCTCTCATTAGTATACAGTTTAGTTTTCCAGAAGCTTCATGCTGCGTGCTGATGGCAGCACTGAGGCTAATAGTATGTGGGTTTGTGTATTCTTGTCCTTAAAAAATTTAACGATTTTAATTTGAAACATTTGTTCATAGAAATAAGCCACATAAACAAAGCTCTCTGGGGTCCTCAGCAGTTTTTAAGAGTATGTAAAGCAGTTCTGCGGCCAGAGTTTGAGAAACAAAGCATCATATTTTACCACCTTCCACAGAACACTTCAGATTTCAAGTAGCCCAGTAAACAAAAATTAGTTACTGCCCTGGCTGGTCACTCAGTGGTTAGAGCGTCGGCCCACAGACCAAAGGGTTGTGGATTCCCAGTCAAGGGCACGTACCTCAGTTGCATGCTCGATCCCCGGCCCATTCGGGGCGTGTGGGAGGCAAGCAATTGATGTTTTTCTCTCTCTCTCTCTCTCTCTCTCTCTCTCCCTCCTCCATCCCTTCCACTCTCTTTCTAAAAAAATCAATGGAAAAAATATTCTCGGGTGAGAATTTTTAAAAAAAGGAGACCATCTGTCAAAGATGGTGATTGTGGAGAAGATATGAATTATGGACCCCACACTTAGACATCTCTGCTGAGAACCATGGGGTTTGTCCTGAGTGGATCCTGTCTCCCTGTGAGCCTTGTTTTCCCCTTGCGAGAAGGGAAGGGGTTTCCCTACAAAGTTTATAATGATCCTTGTAACGGTGTCATTTTATGATTAAATATTTTCAGATGTGAGTATTATTTCTCCCCCTGAAAAAGCAATAGAATGGTGCCAATGTGTTCATGGCACTGTTCTATGATACCATATTTAAATAAAATTGAGTAACTTTTGCAAACAAGAATTGCAAGTATTGTTCTTTACGTTTTTCCAGATAAAACACAGATGTTAATATGTGCCTGATGTTCTATTCATTTTCTTGAGAAGTTCTAATTTATCACAGGAACATAATCTAATCCTAGACTCATTTCCTGAAGGGATTAGTCAATATTTATTTTAATGCCTTTTAAATCTTTGGGTTCATAAAATCTTACATCTTTCAATTTGAACCAAATCTTGATTTCCTAGAAATCCAGGTTAATGTCAACAATCCCTGAGTCCTTAAAGAGTAGCTGATAATTTGTGGAAATTTGAAGCAGATTGATTTTTAGTGATCATGGCTTTCCCACATGGAGAGCCATATATTTTTAGCTTTGTTGATGCACATGTTTTAATGAGAAAAACAAAAACAAACTTTTCAGTTATTCAGTCATCAAATATTTATTGAGTACTTTCTGTTGTATGATACTATAATGTTAAGAGGCTAATTTATTCAATTCAGCTAATCCCTTGAATCTAAATGGTGGAAATTATTCCTTTGTTTTTTCCTCCAGACCATCATTATTTACAGAGATTGCATTTATATTCATTCATTCATCCTCCAGTGTATTTCCACTCCAGCTTCTATCAAGCTGTCCAAAAATGGCATTAGCCACAAATAAACACTTACCATCATCACCATCAACATTGTCACCAATGGAGCATAGTGAACTGGGAACTCCCTGAATGGACTATGCTAAGGTGACATTTAGGTCCGTCTCGTTCATTCGTGTTCCTCTACTCAGGGAGGAAGAAGGGCGAGAAGACCATGGAAAAGAAGACAAACATATAGCCGGGCCTTTTCTACACTGTTTTTAGAAATAGCCTCTAAAGGTCCTCCTTTGAGAACTGGTAAACGCCTGGAAGAGGAGGGGAAAGTAAAAAGAAAAACACATAAAGATGTAGAAAAGAAAGAATTTGCAAATCAGAATGCAGATCGTTTGAACAGAGAGTCCTAAGAGAGGACCATGGCTGAGGGGGGAGAGGAGAAGGAAAAGGTTTGGAAGGAAACTTGGGAAGGACGCTGCCCTGAGTGCTGATCAGCGGCTTCCTGGGAGTGGACGAATGGCTAGCATTAGTCACAGAGCTAGCCTTCAGTGTCTGAACGCCTGTGTCGATCTGCTCATTCAAACTGAGAAGTCTTTGGTGTAATTATAACACCCACTCCCAGAAATCTTATTTTATACTTCTACAACTCTCTTATATAGACTTTTAAATAATTTTAAATAGACTATGGTCTAAAATCAATTCTTCCAGGTGATTTTGATGCAGTGGTCTAAACTTGGAAAACTATTGCAGGCATAGCCCCGACATATTTTTAATGTCATGCTATGTTTTAATGTTTGCCACATTCCATAAAAGTTAACCCCCCAAAATCCAAGTATTTACCATAGACCCTAAAATCTCACATAAATTTCAAGGAAAGAGTGTGTGTGTGCAAAGGTTGGTGCAGAAGGTAAATTATTCAGCGAGTCCCTTCAACTTTGTGTCTCATGTGACTTCGTATTTGGACTGATCTCTACCTGCCTCTGGTATTATGGGAGGAAAAGTACACTTCCCAAAGTGATAGGCCTGTGTGAGGAAAATGAGAGCATCAACGACCAGGGATCACCTGACAGTAATTCAAAGTGATGTCAAAGGGGAAGGATTATGACTATTTTTATTTCCTGAAGGTAAGCAAGCTAATAATTTATGTTCAAAAGGATGAGTTTTTCTGGGGAGGAGTATACATCTGTAAGACAACTTGTTGTATTCCTCCAGTTCATTCAGACCCAGGTCCCACACCCTGCGAGGAAGAGTGCAGGAAGTGGGCTGTGGGTGTTTCTCTGGGCCTCAGCTCTGTGGCGGCAGCAGGTGTCTCAAGGCTCTGGTGGTCAAGGCTGAGGACTCACGGGAGAAGAAGCCCATGGTGGAAGAGACATGAGAGCTTCTTCACTGGCGTACAGTAGGTTCTCAACCCATATTTGTTAAATAAATTAACTCCTGATACATTGGTTGTTAATGTTCTCTTTTAAAGAATTTAAAATTAACAACGCGCGCGCACGCACACACACACACACACACACACACACACACAGGAAATTTGGAAATTTTCTGCCATTCTAAGTTTCGCCCATTTTGTGAGTATAGACGTAGATATTTTCATATGGTTGTAACTGAGTATGTGCTAATTACAACTCGAATGTTGTTTCA